CCCCCCCCCCCGATCCTTAGCAGAAATCTCCACTAGTTATATCTGTTCATCCCCAACCTTGTCCTCCTAGGAGTATCCCATCCCTATTCTGGGACGATACCCCAGCCGGGGGTGTGTCTTTAGATAAGGCGCATCCACAACACCTATGCACTTGCTTATGCGTGGCACACAGTCGTGTATCGGAATGCACCCCAGCCGGGGGGGCGAAAGCGTGCAGAGGCGTCGATAGGGTTCCCCGCAACCAAGATGCACCCTGATGAGTATTATCTACCTACCCCTACACAGTCAGGGGGTACACGCGATACGTTCCTCAAGGGATTCTCTACTGGGCACCTGCTACTATCTAGATTTTAAGGGTTGTTTTTTCGAAGGGGGATCAACCGCTGTCGAAATTGATTAAGACGACCGTGCGGGACCTCCCGTCTGCTTTCTTCATTCCTTCCGCCTTTTTCCATCTACTCTCAGGAGACCTCCACTGTTTCTGGCTACATTGTCATTTTCTATTAATACGCGGCTCTGCTGTCCGGCTTGCCGGTCGCAGCGATCTCGGCCGTAATATCACTCAGTTCCTGTTTCCGGTTGGATACTCTATGATAATGATGCTTATAGTATTATTAGACTCCATTCTCGATACGCGCCACTTGCTACTTTCGGATTTATTAGAATCATAATGGAAAGGTTTCCAGGATGTTTCAAATTTACTCTACCTCGTTACGTGTATCGATGGGCATTGATTCCAATCAATGCGAAGAGGAATATTATCAATGACAGTTGTACCAGTAATTTTTGGTAACGAGGTAATCCACGGATTAGAAATATTATACGGACAAATTTCACAAGGTGGGTTTTTTTAATCGTGACGTCACGTAGAACCTTATCTAAATCGGATAAGCCAAAACGACCTCGTTCCATCAGCAATGATTTAACATCTTGAGATGTTCAGAAATCTTAAAAAAGTACAGAATGAATCCTTTGGTAGCATAGAGCCAGTAGAATCAGCATTCAGTATGAAGTATTCCGATATTGGCATTGGTCCCCTATCGAAATTTCTATTTGGAAAGATAAAACTTGTTCAGAGTCAGATTCCTAAAGAATTCGCGCGTAGCTAGTAGAATGTACAGACACGCGAAGGACACAAAGCGTAAAATACACGCATGTAGGATTGCGTGTCTGCCAATCAGTCTAAGCCGCGAGACATCGATCCGACACTCGTCGAGACGTCTTAGAATCCCGCGAGATTTTTATTCGTCGCGATTTCAACACGTATAGCATTTTCCACTCTTTCCAAATAGGATTGATTTTTTACTGGGAGGAGAAAATTTTTTTTTAATTTTTCACTTTCTTTATGTCTGCTACGAAATAAAGCGAAACCACCCACGTAAGGAGATGGTACTTTATTAAACATCTTTGAAATACATGGAAAACTCGATCGCGAGCCGAGCAAAGTTACGATAGCCAATTACTTTCGGATTAGTATCAGTATCAGAAAATGGTACAAGGGTGGGATGACGATGTAAGGGTGGAGTATTCGCGTAGCAGACGTAGGTGGATGTAAGGACGGAAGGTAGGAAGGAAGGGGGTCGGTCTAACGATTGCATCTGAGCCAGTCCGTAAGATGCAATCTGTGTGTAAAGCGGCGGTGAAGTTAGAGGGTTTGGTTCTGGGGTTACATTATCGGGCTGCTTTCGAGTGGTTAGAGTGTTTTGCAGGGGCTTTGAGGGGCGTGACGTCGAGGCGGCGCCCCCTGAGCTTGCAGGCGGGGCTCTTTGCGGAACGCCTTCCACGAGCTTTCCCGCTTACCGGCCTGGTTCTTCTCTCGACTCCCCACCCCCCCTCGACCCCCCTCGAGCTCCTCCGACCCCTCGCGAACTCTTTTTTTCCAAGGATCTCGCTTCGGTGCTTCAGGGCGCCTTATCGGCAGCCACACAGAGTCCTTCGCTACGGTTCGCCTTGGGGATGATGCGACGTACCTACCGGCTACTAGCTACTTGCTACTAGATACTAGCATCACCCGTACCAGTACTACTGGCATAGTGCTAGTAACGCCGTTTCCTCCTGGCTCCGCGAGGCTATTGGCGAAGGCAGGTGGTGGAAAAGGGATTTTATATAAGGGGTAGTGGAACAGCACGGAGTAAGGGATCCAAGGATCCTGAGGGAGGTAAGGAGCACGAGGGGATGTCAAGGGAGAGTAACGTATGCCCGGAGCTAATTTGCCGAAGCTTACGTTAAAATTACGAGCAGCCCGCACGATGCATCCGAATATGCTCGTCTAACTTTTGAACCACTGGTTGGTCCATTGTGAGATCTTTCAATTACTTTTTTTTCACGTTTCCCTAATTTCCCTATCGATCTTCGTATCCGATTCTTCGTACGAGTCTCCAACGGGCATACGGAGAGTATCGACAGACGGCTGAATATTTTTGGTTTTTTTACATCAATCTTGTATCTTCGTAGAAAAAGATATATTTTCTGACCAGTTATTTCGATTCTGGCGCCTGATAAAGATACGTTTGATTTTGCCGGCGGTCGTGTCGGGCTTTTAATCTAATCTGAGTTTCCGCGGCAGAAAACACTTGATCGGATCCGTAGCTTTAATTTATTCTGTATTACAGGTATTCCAAAAGATCGTACAGGTTTCGTTAAGTACAGGGAGGCCGCTGTTACGATTTCACGACAGATCTGGCCTTGCTCCTTGGATAAACAGGCTCGACTATTCTTTGATCGACGTCACGATCACGCCGAATTCGAGTAGCCAGGATCTTCTGTGATAATGCCGCCTTTGCGATCTACATCACGATCGGACTATCTCTTTGGTCTGTATTAACTGTACAGTGAGGTACGGTACGGGTAACAAGGCTGCGACTTACAAAATGCTTGAAAGTCATTTTTCAAATTCTCAACAATTGCGACACATTGATACAAGCGTTGGAATCACGTACGAGGGACACGTGCGATACTTTTTTTATTTTTACGAAATTTTTCGATGCTTGATGAATTTCAATTATTAGCTTTATTTTTATTGTTACGACACTGATGTACTATGTCTATTTACGTAGTACGAATATGCTACGTTTTGAAATCGCAAATTTATTGTATTTTGAATTGTTTCGTTTACGCTGATTCGAAACTTTGATTCGCTACTCAGATCGTACGATATAGATTATACAATCGTTCACTTATTAATTTCTGTATTGATTGTCAAAAGCAGAGAGCCGATATAATCCTGCTCAAAAATATTTTCCATCTATTCGGTCCTAACCTATTCGCCAGATTCTGACATTACTTGTGCCACGTGTTTCTGTAGTTTTTTCCAAAAAAAAAAAAGACGAAAATGTGAAAAAAACTTGATATTTTACAAAAATCACGTAACTAATATTTCTCAAAATTGAATTAAAACTAAAATTGATTGTCAATACTTCTCTGTAATATTTACGTGATACCCTTTTTTTAAACAAATTTATACCAAACGTATAGATCACGTTAGTTTGATCTTTGAAAATATTCAATTTATTTTAATCACACGTGTATTCCGTTCGCAAAAAAAATTGCACACGCGCCTTGCTGTATGCAACCGAATCGACATCTGTGCTTAGAGTGTGCCCAAGAACCATGAATATTTCAATGCGAATCCAATACACATATATAGGTCACGGAGGAACAATGTAATCAAGAGAACAAGGGGAAAAGTAAAAAAAAGGGAGTAAGTACAAAAATAAAAGCGTCCCAGAAGTCCCCGAATAAAAGCGACATATTCAAAATGTCGATTTAGGAGTGTTCGCATTCGTATGTAAAAAGCAAAGCATACGACTCGCGCGCGCGTTCAGGTACAAATTGAAAACCATTTAGCAAATCTCCCCATCGTTCGAAGTGTTAATAAATTCAGGTTTACGAGGGTCCGGAGGGTTACGTTATGTATCTGCAGGCTGTGCTTCGCCTTACATAAAGGTCTCATGTATGTTCGCCCGTGCGAAACGCACCCTTACCCACTCTTAGCCATTCAGATTCATCTGCCGAGTAGTGTAGACGTGGGTAAGAAGTTTATTTGGATCTTTAAAAAGAAATTTTAGCAGGTTTACTAAATTTCCAAAAAATATACAAAAAATTCTCATAAACCAAATATGCATGCGCGCGTTTCACCCTGGGATATTATGATACCCGTACAATATATATACATATACAATGGTTGAAAACTGAAGCTTCTAACGGGAGTAAAATTTAATACCGGTATAGTTAAACTCGATAACTCGTATGTCACTCCCATACTAAATTCTAACTCTCACTATGCCGAGAGTTGTTCGGCATAATCC